CAAGCACAGAGATTGAGACGAACTGGACATACATCCACAGCGCCACGTAGAACCCTGCAACTTTAGTCTGTGGCTTCACCAGTATCCATCTCAGCTACTAGATCTCTGCGCGATCTCTCCAACTTGTCGTAGCAAGTCGAGCAATTCCTATGGGCGTGGAATAGCATTCACTGCGAAGAACTAGTAACGTGGAACTCAAACAGGTTCTTCGGGAAGATCACGAGACCTGATGGAGGCAGCGGGCCAGTGAGATGGCGCAAGCGGCCACCACGAGGAATCTCCGTAAGTCTTTCCGCTTGATCCTATCCACTGGCAGCAAATGGCCGACTGTAAGCGAAGTTTCGTACGAAACCAATAACGAGCTAATACTTTGTCAAAAACGTCGACTTGAGCGTTGAGCCGAGCATTTTGAGCTGCAGTTTAATTGGCCAGCAGCACTGACGAGTCTCCATTCAGGAATCCAGTGCTCCAATGTGCCGAAACGTTTCACCACCATCTGAGGCTGAGGTTGCCTATGAGATTTGCTTCTTAAAGCGCTACAAAGCCCCTGGCCCAGATAAACTCCTCTTGGCTCATTTCAAAGATGGAGGCCCATAACTTGTACAGGAGTTAACCTTCCTCTAAGAGATTTGGGTCTCCGAAGTTATACCATATGATTAGAACCTATTGTGCCCATCTTCAAAAAGGGTACCTGAACTGCCTGTGCTGACCACAGAGGAATTAGCCACATTTGTGTTGCGTCCAAGGTGCCAGCCGCTCTGCTTTTAAGGAGACTCAGCTTGGTACGTGAACAGAGCATACGTGAAAAGCAAGCTGGGTTCCGCTCCGGTCGGAGTTGCATTGATCAGATCTTTACACGCCGCCAAATAATTGAGCCCAATGCCAAACTCCCACTGACTTGCGGCCAGGTTTTTGAATCCAAGGTTTTGGTTGAGAACCCTAATCGTTCGCCTATCTACGCCCGGGCAAGGTAACAGCACCCTGCTCAAACAATACAATGAAAACATCTCCATATAATAATTTGATGCTCGAGTAGTTGTAGGGAAAAATTAACGATGTCCTAGCTGCTGCGCAGAGTAAGGTGGACACATGTTACGATGATACTGCTCTCACATCACCTTTTTCTTACCCCACTCTGATGTATTTTCATCCATATCTTATCGTTACTAGTTCACACATCCCCCGTATTCTACTTCCAATTAATGGCACCCCTCAACTTGCCTTCATAAGCGTTTGGCTTCCAATTACAGTGCAGACACCAACGCAGAGCGCCACTTTTCTGTCGACAAGTACATATCCAACCATGCGGACAATCTATATCTATTGGTTTCTATTTGCAGCCAACACTGGAGTGCACTAAGGCAGGTTATTACAAATTAGTCAAAAGACACAACTTGGCCGAACACCAAAGGCACTATCGATCGATATTCGTTGCTTAGAGGAAAGCCACCTGCAAGATTCGAGCTTTGTGCACACTCTATAATCTCTTACAATTGACATCGGTGGTGCTTTCTTACTGCGTCTACCTGGATATGATGCGACTTCGAATGCCAGTCAAGCTGGTGTGGATATTGCTCTGAGCTCCTGGGCTGAAGCTGTTCTACTAGAGTGGATCACAGTTAGCATGCGGATGTGCGGCAACAGACTAGCTAGCTCGTTCAAAGCCTAGAAGTCGCGCGTAGCCAGTAGTTACCTTGTTTTTCATTGCTGCATACGCCCCCAGAAACTCCAGCGCAGAATTGGTGAACATTGACTTTATCACCAAATGAACGAGCTGCTTCGTAACACAAGAAACAAGCATATTGTAGTGCTGGCTGGTGATCTGGAAGCTCGGGTTGGGATACTGTTCATTGATGAGCTTCGTCTGGGCGGCCAACGTGGTGTAAGTTTCCGTAAATCTAACCGCGAGCAGCTGCTACACCTACGTGAAGAGGGTTGTCTATTTCTCGCGAGCATTAACTGCCGACACAGCACTCGCAGAAAGGTCGCACAATGCTTACTAGCCTCGGACCAGGCATGGAAGCAAATCGATCACATCGCGATCAGTCGCGGTTGTAAAAGCTGCTTATAAAGCTGTCGCTCGATGTGAAGTACAAGCATGGATTCCGGTCATGTACTTGTATGTGCTGATCTCCAAGTATACTTCGGAGGACATGCACGACAACTCTGTGAGTGCATAGAAAACCGTCAACTTGCGAGGCCAGATCATCCAAGTGTGCATCAAAACAGGCTGGTACCCGTGCTGACGGCCACGGGTCACTTGTCCACCAGAAGTTACAGGAAAAGTGGATTAGCGACATAGAGGTTGGGTATCTAAGAAGTCGCTGGAACAACCTCTGGATGTTTGTCGACAACTTCCGACTAAGAATGAACACGACGAAACTAGCAAAGATCTCAGGGCAAAACAATGTGCGAGCCTAAAGAGAGACCGCGAAACTCGGTGGTCCGATCATCCGCCAGAGATTAAAACAGCCGCTGCTTTTGGTAACCATCGAATGGGGGAAATGAGAGGTTTGAGAGCAAGTGTCAGCGAGACTGGGCGATGAGACTTGACTAGCTACGCGCCGACTGTCAAAACACTTGGAGCGTTGGGATGAGTACTTTGAAAGGCAATTTAATGGGCGTGAGCCGCTAGATGCGCTAGCGATCATTAACCACCCTGCTCCCTGTGCCTTAGTTTTGGATCAACACATTCGAGTAGAAGTGAGAAGGGCAGCTGAAGCTGCATAAGATCGTGGGACTAGAGGATCTACTATCACTTCAAAAGACTTGGTGGAAGACCTGTTAATATATTTGTTCAAAATTCAGCGAATCACGGGGAGTGCTGATCTTCGTTTATACCCTGGAAGAGAAAGATTGTGTATTAAACAAATATACTAACCGGTCGTCCACCAAGCCTTCCAAATGATAGCTTTCCGATCGATACCAATCAACTTCCATGATGTAATCTAATACAATACTTCGAATTCGGGGACCGAGTCTTGTAGATACTTTACGTCATCTCTTATTGAAACGACGGAAACAGGAAAATGTCCCAAACAGATGTATGTGTATAAAAATGCTTCGTCCAGGTTCTATGTTTACCCTGGCCTGCGATCACAATGACCCATGTTGAGGAACATGCCACTGACAAGTCATGGACCATTTTTGATCCTACTACTTACCATTTTTAATCTGATAACCTTGAATTTTGAACTTTACCACTATCAGACGTTGAACTTATTCCTATAAGTTGTGGTGCATTAGCTAGAGGAGAGCCGGCGAAAACGAGCTTGTTCGCCAATTCGTATTTCTGATGTCCACGCCTAAGATAATTTTCACTTGAAGTTCCGTTTTGTCCCGATATTCAAGACAGGCTCACGTTCGGAATACGGCAATCATAAAAAACAGTCGTATCTCCACCACCACTGTTATTACCTTTGTCGGCCTTCATAGATTGACTGGCGCCCGTGATGTCAGATTCGTGAACAGCAAGCAGTGTTTCGTCGAAATCGAGTATGCGTTGACCACATCTTTACTCAAACATTTTCAATAGTTGTAGCCCCACTCCGTGTACAGCCCATCCACCTATTCAGCGGATCTATGGTCTTTCTCGGAAAAGAAAGATGTGCCAGGTGAAAAAATGATCAGTAAAGCGCTTTTTGCACGCAGTTTGAGCATAATGAGGGATTGTGCCAACTGCCGTCACCCCTTAATATACCCATCGATGTGAGACAGGAATGCGCGTCGTCAGCTTTCCTTTTCAATTTCGCCATCGACGAAGTCATGGGAAATACGTTCACTGGACACGGCTTAGAAAGCGTGGAACAGCTCCCAGGTGATCGAATTATTGACCTCGAGTATGCCGACGTTATTTCCCTGATCTGTGACGACTCAAGAAAGTGTCAAGCAACACTGAGCAGAAAAGCATTGGCTGTCAGTCGTTGCGGGCTTTCTTTTGCACCCTCCAAATATAAGGATTTGCTCCCAGACTGGCGGGTATCGCCCTCTAAACTGATCCTTGATCCAGATCAATTAGAAATAGTGCAGAATTTCCCCTATCTGGACAGCTTTACCAACTCTTGTGGTGATGAGATCACGAACTGTATAACAAAAGTTCGAGGTACTTTTGAGGCTCTTCACTAGTTGTGGCGCAAGCGCAGAATCGCTCATGCTTTGAAGGCCTGAGTCTACAACGCAGAAGTCCGTTCCATCCTCCTATGCGGTTGTGAAACCTGTCCTCGCAAATAGACAGGTGTAAAGAGCCTAGCTACATTTGATCGCCGGTGCTTTCGCAGCCAAGGGGACATCTGGTGGGAACACCATGTGAGCAATAAGCGCGTTCGGCGTATTGATTATGGCGTTGGAAGAAGTGAACCGATCAGCACCATTATTACACGCACCAAGCTCGGATGATTGGGAGATATGTTACGCATGCCAGCACATCGACTCCTGCGAGATGCGTTGTTTGTGCGAGCGGGATGTGGATGGGACAAAATGAGAGGAAGCCAGCGGACGACGTGGTCTAGAAAAATGAAGGCCCTCACCTTGAAGTTGCCCTCAGTTGGCTACTCTACTCCCGGGTTGGTGTCCTAAAGACATCTGACTGGATACACTTCCTGATACGGCGAAGAACCGACTACAATGCCATTTAGGTTGTTTCTTTATTCAGACGCATAAAGCTTAGCCTTCCCCTACAACCACGATCTCATTTCTAATGCAAAATATGAAACACATGGTTGTCGTGGTTTGGTTTTTCTTCTTTTACTATCACCTAGTTAAACTGTATTGCGACACAATATCTAGGGTGTTTCTCACCACTGATTAGGATGTAGAATGGATTTAAGAAACATTTATGCTCAACGCAGGCGGGTTATGGGACGAATGAGTCAATTAGTGGCATTTGGCGTAAAGGATCGCGCAACCATAAATGTACATAGCTGATAACTGGACTGGAAGGCCCGAATGTATCATCATAACAAGAAGAAATAAGAAGCACGAACAAGCAGATGAGCAGGTACCTTGTCAGGGGAGTATCGGAAGCTGACTTGTTGAACTTGGATAACTGGTGGTGGAATGGTCCCGGGATCCGGAAAGTAGAAAGTGAGCGTCTTGTCAGTCTGAACGCGTTCCGTCAGACCGCCGGTGACCATCTTTTGCAGGACTTTCTCTTTGCTTTGGGCCTGACGAGCTAGCTTCTTGGAGCCATGACCGAATCGGGCAATGTAATTCTGCGTATAAGAAGCACCATAAAATGCTCGATAACAAAGACAACTCGCACAAAATGTAAAAGATTCGAAACAGATAGTGAAAAGTATACCGTAACGACGAACGTAAGTAAGTGAGTATATGAAATACAAGGCAATCATCACAGCTTAGACGCGAAAATGACAGTCTTTATAACAATCAGATGAGAGCGTAGCTTCGTGGGCAAGCCGTTGAGTGGATATCGACAGAGACGGATAAGTGGACGCGCAAAGCATAGTGATCACACCGCATAGTTAAAAATATAAGCTTATTCGATTCTATATGTAGATAAGGGTGTAGATTAAAGAGGCGAGGTATTTCGTAAGAGCGAACACTATAAAATCCGAAAGCAGATAATTGGCTAACAGTTGAGCAGATAGTGAAGTTGTCCACTCCATACCGATAATCAAATGTCATGAACATATCAACAACATATTGAAATGACATAAAAAGTGAGGACAAGAGTGGTCTAAATCTGCACAGAAATAGGAATAGGTGGCACTGGCATGCGGAAGTAGTTTGATTTATTTCGGTTGAAATAAGCTGCGCTAATGACCATGCAATTAAATGGCTGTGAATTTGTCACTAGCAACATGAGACCGTGAAGAAGCGCGCAAACTAAAAAACATCTCTTAGATACCATGATTAGATAGGAATGAATGGACACGCCATCAATCAGGGAGGAAATAAATCTCATAGTAGTTAACAGTGAGAAAATAGAAAAATGAAACAGAGGTGAGGAAAATGGAACGAAACCCGAAGGCGTCTCCGTGACTACGCCCACAGTTCCACAAATCTAGGTGTTGAAAAGTTCCGATACTAAAGGAGCTCTGCTGTCGAAACAAAGCAAGCTACAGAAGACAAACACAATGGTCATCAGAGCAGAGATGATTGAACAGATGACGCACATAACGATGCCAAAAGGGGTACGAAGTATCTCCGGGCCAAAGACAACTCCAGTTATAATGGATAAGGTTGTAGCAGGCGAGCATCGAACATCATCGCTCACAAGACAACTGCATCGCCTACACATGTTTGCATGTATGGTGTACATCCGAAGGAAATGACACCGAGAACTGAGTAAACGCTGATCACAATCGTTTAGCAGTAGGCCAGCATCACATCAGTTATCCAGAAATAAGTAGCTAAATCCAAACCAGAGGCTAGGTATTTAACGTACATCGCAAAGAGAGTACCAGCATGTATGCAGAATTGTTGTTGGTCACGTGGAAGGAACATGAATGGAGACAAGCATAATGGACGCGCACAAAGTCTGAGCAATTGTATGAAAGTAGAATTATCAAAAACGATGCAGGTCCCCGCACCGTCAACTAAGGTTAGTGATAACCTGCAAGCAGCAAGGGATTTGGAGGAAAATCGGGCCATCAAATAGCATGTGGGCCAACAGCCAGCCTAGTAATCCGAGGGCGCGAGTTCGAGCCTGCGTAGGGACCGCGCGACACTCGTAGTATCCTTAGCACACATGCCACTGTTGGTGGTTGCACTGAAGCGTAGAGTTTGTCTTGTTGCCTTTCTGTAAGCCAAGGCATTAAACACAACAATATGACAAGCCATTATCATCATCAGCGCACGTCAGCTGAGGGTGAGAAACACACATGTTAGTTTGCCGCCATAAAAAAGACAAAACAATACAAACTACAAAAACTAAAAGATAATATAACGGATATGAGATCGTAGCTGCAGTGGGAAGCAAAAGGGGATGGAGAGGGGCAAAGAAACTCACATCACAAATACCACTGAGGACTGCTTTTCGCCATCTCAACAAGTGTGCGCAATCGGACGTGTACATCATCCATCGGACCCCAGTAAGGCAGTCGGGAAACGCCAACCGACACAAAGTGCAAAGTGTGGGTTTTCATTCCCCTTCCACGAATCCCCGACTGGCCTCCCCATCTTCCCTTCCATCCACACCCGGAGGTGTCCTCCCACCGTCAGAGAAGATGCGTGGCGCTCGTGCTCTATGCCAATCGAGCTGTGAGCTTATAACCCGTAGACCTGTTGTCTCCCGTGGTCACGTTTTAGGGGAAGAGGGCCATCGACCACTTCCTAACCTAAGAAGAGGATGGAGTAGGGTACTGAGAGGGCACCCACAACTGACAGGAGAAAGACTAGGGTCCTCAAGCCAAGTTTTCGAGTAAATATATATATATATATATATATTCTGTATATTTACCGTTTTTGGATATTCTGTAGCGCTGCTTGCCATGCATTGTCAAATCGTTCCGAGACCATGCTTGTTTCTCTTTGCGCACTTTCGACACTACAAAATGCATCCTGTTTGGAATTCAGTGACTACCTATCCTGTTGCCTTTCTCGTCGGTCCGTTGAATGCGGAGAAAATGATTGACAGTCTCAACTAAGACTGCTAGTATTTCGAGCAGGACAGGCTGAACTACACAACGAACAACTGGCCAGTGTCAAAATGTCGAAAGGATAATCTGAATTCAGCCATTTCGCATATTTTGTCCGCCGTTTACATACATTTAGTGGATTGGATAGATTGACTACAAAGATCATCATGATGTAATATACACCAAGTGCATGCATATAGCCGCTACATGAATGACACTTTCGTCGTTGTACACACTGCCGAGCAAGCAGAACAATTACTGTTGGCTCTAAGCAACTGTTACCCCGCAATCGAATTTACAGTTGAGAACGAATCTTACAACGCCTTCTAATTTTAGATGTTCGCTTAAAAGAAACCAAAATGGTACACTGCCCAAAGTTTAACATTTAGTGTCCTGTGAATTACAAACGGGTTCCGGTTCGTACCATTTTTGCGATAGCTAGCCAGCTGTGCTCTGAGGAAGCGATTGCATGTGAGCTGCGATACGTCTCCACGGTACGCGAAAATGGACGTCCCCAGAAGTTCTTAGAAAAGCACTCAAACGTGAACGCAAAAACCGGGAAAGAACGGGTGCCCGAGGTCCCTAAGAAAAAGGTATAATGATGCTATTCAAAAGAGATTAAATGGCAGGAGATTCAGATATCGCCTCCATCCATCGATAACAAAAGTAGTACGCTGCTAAGTATGTGGTTTGGCACCAAGTTAAGAAGTTGCAGTTTACATTCACCCTGGACATGCTAGACACTTGCGCTTCACCATAGGAGCTGCTTGCGTATTGTGTCGTTGCAAAAAGCTGTAAATGCATTGTAAGCATGCGTTGTGGATCCCATGTCATCGTCCGACGACGTTTCAGGATCTTGGTGCTTTCTGATGACATCATGTATCGGCGTAGCTGACATTTTGGCAGAAATGTATATCACTGAGCGCAGAAATGGCTGCTTGCTTGGCTGCCTGTAGTAGTTGTCCATGTCAGGATTAGCGTGCGCGGATCCCGCTGTAAATTATTTGCAACAAGCTGCAGTGACGTCAGTAAACGAGAGAACAGCGTTTGCCTGGTTTCCGTATTTATCTGCATTACCCGAGCGAACCCAAGTGCGCCGCCACTATTTGTTGACCTTACCATGCTGCCTTCGGCAATATGGCATTTATTAGAATGAATTAAAGGGGCAGAATCAGAGTAAAGAATTCTTTTGGGTAATTGTCCTCGGACTCAAACATAACATGATGATGAGAAAGTGATAAATGTGCCGGATTGGGCTGCGTATTGAACAGAATGTTTAATTTCACGGGTAAAAACCAATAAATCACGGAGTCATCGGAATTGTCAAGTATGAAGGGGGAAATCATAGCAATGGCAGTTTTTGAAGAAAAGTGATGTATTGCGTTGTCGAGTGATGCAATTGACGAAGTCTTGAAGCTAGCAGTCCAGTCAATGGATGTAATAAAGTGGTTTCATCTGCATTCATAAGCATTTAAATGGTCCCATTTTGTGAGCCGCTTGTGACTTTCAGAATGGTGGGGATCACCGGCCTGGAGTATCTGTGTCCAAGTCATGCGTTGTTATTTGTATTCCATTGGGGAACAACTAGGCTCGGCTGCGCCAGACTTCCCTTTGAACGGGCGTTTGAGTTATCAAACGTGCAGTGCTTGGACAGTAGTACTTTTTGCAATACGACACGACTATTAAAAATTTCATCGCAGTCACAGTATCCTTGAACTGAAGGAGCACGGGACAACCGTGGTGCTAGCCATGTTACCGTAATAATAATGAACCCCCTGCTACCTCAGTAGCCGCCTTAGCAGATTACAGGCCACCTCGATTGGTGTCGGCTGGCAAAGGAAGTCGTTGCTCTGGGGGCCAGCCCTGTCCTCTGCACGTTCATAGCACGCAAGACGAAAGGAGGATGAGCATCCCTACACAGCAGTTGGAGATCAGTCATGGCGGTCCACTGCCATCAACCATGGCTCAGTGGCATAATTCGCTGACTCGCAAGAGGAAGGTCGTGAATTCGAATCCGGCAGGTGCGCGCTATTGTCGAGTCCAAATAGAACGAAACGGCCGTCTAGCGTTTCCCTGGAGGTGTGGTGGATGTCTGTCAAAATCTAACTGCGACAAATCTTTAAAAACAAAATAAACTCTCCTGTTACTTACATTTATTCTCACATTTATTTTTCTTCCTTTAAACCTATCCAAAATGTAAAGAAAATGAGCAGTCGCGTAGGGTATAGGATCATAAGGCGTGTCGCAGCACATTTTCCATGTCTTTGGTTTCACACTTGATGCAAAAGGCTACAGTTTTATCACTAGACAAGGTGCTGGAACGCGCTGGTGTGACTGACATTACAGAGTCGTGCCAGGAAAGAATGCAGTAGAAATGTTATCATTTATATGCATACGTATATAAACATATATATATGCATACAGATATATATGAATAGAACCGCGGCCATCCAAACTCATTACATACGCGGCAGACTTCTAGTATACGTACCCGTTATCTCTGCAGTTTTTTCACGTGACCAGATAAGCTCAGCGTCAAGTCAACCGCAATATAGCCTTGGTACATCAACCCCGTCCTTTCACAAGGTATACCGGCGATCGCGGACGGCACACTGCCCCTACCCGCAAGGTTATTAGCAACGGACTCGTTCCCAATGCTCCCACACATATTTACCGCTCAAATAATCCGCGATTACAATGACTCACACAACAGTGACGCGAACCCTGATTCCACCATTTATGGTATGCTTTCATTACTTTTGATTAACGCCAGAAAAATTTGTGAATAAGGAGTCCACATCTATTGAGTACATAAGCTCTGCACTCAGTGACAATTGTTCCAGCGTCTCAGCCAGTTCAAAGGAGTCTCCCAGGCAATACGTAGCGAGGAGTTTATGCACCGGCATATTGTTTCGACCAGAAGCAATACTAAGCTGGAGGGTAAATGTGCCACTGCTACTGTGCATCTTGAACCGATCACATATGGTGCGCTTGATAGGTTACGGAAAGCTTGGACAAGCGTTGAAAATTTGGCACAAGTACACCGGCTACCGGCCAGGTCAGAATACGAACCAATGGTAACTCTTTCCGACAAAAGATCTGTTAAAGGGGTACTGAGGGAGAACGTTCCAACGCCTCATCCGTGATTGACCAGCTACAGTCAGGCGTACTGCTGGTGACCTCTAGCACTGTCTGCCTTCCGTTAACACCAATGTGTCAATCTGCTCGGGAGCATACCTGTCCCCATAGATGCATACATCTAGCCTTGTGTTTACATACACGGAGTCCTAATGGCTGATGTCCCATGATCAATGAGTATCTCACTGATACTGTCTGCATGTAAGCCCTCAGGGAGAGAATGAATTGATGCCGGCGTGAACTTGAATGAACAACACGTTATTTTGATTTTTAACAGTTTCGATTATCAAACTAGAACTATAAGAGGGTACGTGATCGACCTCCGAGAATTTTCTTATTTGGTGAAGCAACTACCAAATTCAGTTACATCGAAACAGTAAAAATGCATGCATGAGGAAATTGTCAAAAACTTGGTGGCAAAAATGTTTCATGAAAAGCGACTAAGCGACGAAACGAGAGTGAAGTAACCTAGCAGGAAATAAGTGAAGGCCGTTATCAACAGATTTTATGCGTATGGAATGGAAAGTGAGATTTTGATAAATGTACCTTCATGAATGCAATTTGATCCTGCTCCCATTTGTACTGCTTCATCTGGTTCTCCTCCAGTTCGAAACGAGTGCGAACGTATTGATCGTAATTTCCCTGTCATCGTAAAAAAAGTGAAGGGGTTAAAAACTGGGTGCAAACAGAAAGTGACACAAAAACAATACGTACGCAACGGAAACGCGCACGAGGCGTTATCAAAAGGTCACGTAGATGGCGTTGAATTCCTAGGGATAGATAACTGTTAGGATAGCCGCGTAACGTAAGGTCCTTTTTATTGCGACTTAACTGCATGATCCCGGTTGAAGCAAAAAAAGCAGGGAAGGCATAGTTAAGGAAAAGTAAGGTTTGATCGATCTTATAGTGTGGATGCTTCAGGAATATATGCTTTAATCAGCCAATGCAGCGGATGACCATCGATATCACTGAATGCTGTATAAGGTTGGATAATTTAGTGAGGAAAGTATGAACATAATCAAAAAGAAAAATGGAATATTAAGACAGCATGGCCAGAATTGAACAGGAGTAGTCAGGGCCAAGCGCAGCCGCATATCTATCCTGTAGTCCACCGAAAGTCAAAATTAAGTCTGGGCAACGATTAGAAACTGCTGTTAATAAAGCATCACATCGATAATACTGTACATAAACTGCGAGTGATAGTTGGTGGTGACGTCTTACACTGGCTACTTTCCGTTTCTTGTCCCTTCCGCGGTCCGTCTAGGGTTATTAGTGCACAACTTCTGCGCGTTTTAATAGGCTCCTGCCCCGCCTGCTTTGTTCGTTTGGAGTTCTGCTGGCACATAGATCTTTGTCTATCTGTCCAGCACAAACGTTTCCTTCGCCCGCGTCTGTTCTCGTGCACTTGCTACACAGTTTTTGATTCCCAGGTGCGCGCAGCGGATGAGTTGCAGCATGAAACGTGGCAGGGCTTTCGGAAAAAGATGCGGTTTCCTTTGAAGATCAATCCATTCTTCATGGAAACGAAAAAAGTTATTAGTTATTTTGGCAGCATCTTTTGGCCACGCGTTCAATAACGCTCGTTTCAGAAGCTTGAATAACTTGTGTTCTTTGGGCACCGTCGTATCTGCTGCAGACATTCTTCAGGGACAGTAGTCAATTGTGCGACATGCGCCAAGTTGGAGTCTTTTTGTATTCCGTTGGCATCTGTAATTTACACCCACGGCAGCTTGTCTGCAATGTGCGACTTTTATCTTGGCTGATAGAAAATATGTATATCGTACTTCTGAAGAGGAGTAAACATCCGTTGCAGACGACGTGGAACAATGTTAAGCGGTTTTGTTAGCGATGTATATCAATGGCATGTAGTCAGTGCAGACAGATGTTTTGAGGCCAAACGTACAGTTATTGAAGCTTTCTACCGCGTGAACTAACACCAACATTTCCTTTTTAAGTTTTGCGTAACGATGCCCGGCCTACCTCAGTGGGACCGCGAAAATCAATAGGACTGCCAATTTGCACGAGCGCGGCTCCGATGCATATTAACAGCCGTCACGATGAATCTTGAGTCGAAGAGACGGATCAAAGTAAGCAAGGACGGGTGCATCTATAATCAATTCCTTGATCTTCTGAAAGGCTTTTCCTTGCTCGGTGCCCCAGTGCCAAGTTTTACCATTGAGGATCAACTTTCCGGATCGGTATCATCACAGCAGAGAATGGTGGAAGGAAATGGCTCAGATAGCTGACCATCACGTTCAGCATGCTAACAGCCTTCCCATCAATGGGAAGAGGCATCTTTTTTATGCCCATGATCTCCTTTGTCTCTCTGCCTAGAGCAAACGTTTCCTCCGCCCGCGGCTGTTCCGCCCAATGAGGAGTAGGCATTTCTTGATTCAGCTGCATTTCATTCATTATACACGTCAGCTAGAGATGGGAAAACACCTCTGCTATTGTGCCGCAATACAGAAAATGATTCAGCTACGGTTTGTTCCCTTATGGTTGAACCGATGCTGATTTCTCTGCGTGGCTCATCCACGCGTGATCAACTCGCATCGACAACGGCTATTTAGCCACTGGCTTGCCTACCACCTATCGATCAGGTATGCCCCAACAATCAATTTCTACCATAATATCCACCACACAAACCGAAAAACGCCAGGTAGCCAATTTGACCTCTGTTAGCTTATGGACATCCTGCATTCCTGGCGAATATGGCGTGTTCGATTCAACAGACCTAATTCTCGAGGTAAATTTTGGACAAAGGCTGAGCAAATGAGTAACTAGTTTGGCGACAGCGCGACCGTTCCTTAGTGGCCCCCCGTGTTTCAAAGAGTAAAGATTTGTTTCGGAGAAAAGAACCACGGTTTTCCGAGCTGAACTCATCGGCGCAGTATAGTAAACATCGGCTTTGGAAACTACTGATTGCGAAATTGGCACAATGAATTAAGGAATTTAAAAGTATCCCGTCGTGGTGAAATCTCTAAATTTTAGAGTTAATTTCAGCATGATAACATGCGAGAGCGCTATCGAAAGACCAGAGGTAATGCCAATAACCGAACGAATATTGAACAAAACTGAAAATAATTAGAATGCTGAAATGTTAAGATCCTGATGGATAGTTTAGAGCAAAAGGGTGAGTCTGAAGGGGGATTGAAGAATCGTCCGTTGATGTGATGGTGATAATACTATTGGCTCTCTAGGAAACCGTTAAAACAGATGGTTTCGAGTATTGACTTCTAAATGTACAGCATTTGAGATTCTAGAATAGCGAATGAAGTAGCAGCTAGCTACAAACTCAGGTACAAGGAAGTTGTGAGAGTGGGAGGAACCGAGGTAGTTTCGACACATGTTCCTAGTCAAAGATAAGCCGACAGTAGGTAAATTGCGGAAAATATCGGTATAAAGCCACTTGGTGTTGACGACGGAGACCAGCAAACATTATCACAGCAAATAGGAAATATGGCATGTGAAAACGTCATGTCACTTGTGAAAGTTTGCTGAAACTAAGTGCTTCAGATATTGCGAACCATATTCTTCATCAAAAGGTGGTGAGATAGTCTGTCAGATGAAATCCGGCCAAAATAACGTCCTGAGAGACGCCGTTGCCCCTCAGTATAGTGGATGTAGAGCAAACCGGAAAATGTCGACGCTAGTTTAAACAGAAGATTTTACTTGTTCCTACCATTGGTGCAGGGGTTTAGGTATAAGCGCGGAAAGGTGCAGATCTCCAGTTCATGACTAACGCTTTAGGAATAAAACAATCGAATAAGCAGGATAGATGATTTACTCGACAGGATGAGCCCCTGCCAATCGTTTTACAAGTTGGATTTCAACAGTTTAGCGCCCAGAACGAGAAGAACAAAATTAACCCACTTCCTTAATGTTGTAACGCTTCTTCTTACCTCTGCCCACTGCCAATCCCAGCCGCGTCAAGGAGAAGAACTCACACAGGCTCTGCACACAAGTCTTCTAGGTACAAATATGAGGTAATTTACAACTAGCTGGGTCTTTTTAAAACTCACTGACCTACTCAATCGATCGCCTGATCGACCGCACTGAGGCAGAAGCTTCCAACATTCAGCTCCGCTTACGTTTCTAGTATTTCCCCCTTCAAATTGATTGCTCCTACCTATTTTCCGCACTTGGGCTTGATTGTTGCCTTTTACCCTGGGGTTCACTTGTAGCCATCGCGGTTGCCTTCGTCTTCGACTTAGCCTGCATGTCAGGTCGTGTGGCGGCCGAGCGACCGGCTGTGTTCCGCTTTGGGGATCAACTTGCAACTAAAGTGGTCGTCTTCGCTTTCGGGTCGGCCTACATTGTGCGTCATCTGCCGCTTGCATCTTATGTTGTGATCCACGTAACCGCTCAGCTTCGACTTCCAAACAAAAGGTGTATGGCAAGATGTTTTATGGTAGGGCTGGCAATTCTGAGGAGCTATGAGTCTTTCCGTGATTCGGTCTCAGTTGATTGGTGTGCCTGACTAATTTCTCCTTTCCTACCATTAGCACGTAGATGACCCAACCGTTCCTGTGGATCACTCTTCTTGTCGATCCCTTCCTCGGTCCTCGGAACTCTTGTGCGTACACCATGTTCCAAATTTTGAAATGATGCACGCTGTCTGTCCGCTTTTCTCCCGCATGACAAATGCAATACTTTTCATTCCTGCTTGACACAAGACGCTTTGCTCTGCATACTAGTTTAGTGACTGGATTGAGTTTCATGGAAGCACTGGTGATTCGGCAACATTCTGGACCAGGTTAGAGTATTGCTTCGTGGCGTCTATTCATCTGCGTTGTATGACTGCCATTGATTTCTACCATCGCATCCTCAGTTTGATGGGCACATACGATTTTGAATTGGCAGTGTGGCAGAAGTGTTGCTCTTCCGTGGCTTCCGAATTTGCGACCACATTTGAAACAAGATTCAAGTTGAGCAACCACTGACATTCTGAAACAATTTCTTGCGATGTCAGCTTAAGTTCCCGTCATCATTCTACTTGAATGTTTAAATTGTGTGATAGCAGTTCGATCAAATGTCACTGTGAATTTGTGAACTGTGACTACTGCTGCTGCTGCTGCGCAAAAGTGCCTGCAGTTGTTCAAAGCTGACTGACATCTTCTGGTTATTCTGACTCCTGTCGCCACTGTTGTAACACTTTTGCTTACCTCTGCCCTCTGCCACTCCCAGCCGCGTCAAGGGGAAGAACTCACACAGGCTCTGCACACAAGCCTTCTATTTACAAGTATGAGATAATGCATAACTAGCTGGATTTTTAAAAACTCGCTGGCCTCCTCGATCGATCGCCCGATCGCCCGCACTGAGGCAGACGATTTCAATATTCAGTTCCGCTTACGTCTCTATTCCTTAGCACGGTCAACCAGGAAGCTCTAAGTCCACACAATTGATGGACGAGCGATACTTGCTCATATCCCGAAAACCCTCGCCATCGATAAGTGGAGTCGCACTAAAGCCTGACCATATGATTTCAGTACTTTGCCACTTATTTTACCAACTGGTGACTCCGACAGAACATACACAAAAAATTAGCCATCAGAAGTACGCCGGTACGCGGTACCGACGCTTCGCTGACACGCAACAATCACTAGTCGTGCATGGTCTAGGGATACTGCGAGGGTCGCCCG